TGCCTTCTCCTTAGGACAAAGTCTGTGTGATTTCAGATTGGTCTGATGTGAGAGGAGACCAGCTAATATCCCTGTGTACTCACCGCTAGAGAGTGGGTGTCATGTGCGCTACCTCTTGCACAATCTATCCTTATATTGAAGTAAGGCTGATGTTCTGTTTCTGATGCTATGTTGTTGTTGTTGTTTTCAGTGTACTATTAATTATAATAATAATAATTAAAAAAAAAACATTTGTTCCCATTGGCCTCGGTTGTATTTTACTCTGACTGGTTATTAAAATACGTGTTAGCATCTTGATGCATTCTCAATCATCCAGGTAACAAAATCCAGTTGATTCTGTTGATCGGGCCGTAGCGTTTTCAGTGGGAGAACTGCATGCTATCACACAGGCTGTAGAGGTTTCTCAGGGGGGCCTTGTGCGCACATTTCTCAAGAGTTGTCTGCCATACTGGATGTGATACAGCAACTACTCATTCAGGAAATGGACCAAAAACCTCTTTATGTTTACTTTATTCACCAGCAGATTGCCACCAAAGTTTGCATGGGAGACGGCAACTTGTCTGCAAACACACACAAAAGTAAAACCTGCAAATGTGTGATGTGAACCCGAATATGGAAAATTGTTCAGCTTCAGCGTAAAAGTTGGGCAGTGTTGGGTGTGGTTTTGAGTCACAACCTTTAATTACAAGGAGATTTTTGCCAACTGGTTGCCTTGAAAGACATAAATGCAGCTGATTTCAGGCTTGCCTGTTCGCTCTCTCTAGCCCCCATTAAAGATCCTGCATTGATAAAAGTGAAAGAGGCCGGTGGCTTTCATGTAAAGTGAATCACTTCCAGTGTACACATGCGACACAATAGACCAATTCAGTTAGACCTACTCACAGGTTATGCTCATGTCACTTGATGCCTGGCATCATAGCAAATTACGCTGTCATTATTTTTTACAGTCTGCCAGCTGCTGAGGAGAACAATTATGCAAAAATGCAGGTAGGTGTGCTTCTAATGTCAGAAGGTGTATGACTAAGAAAGTCTGGTGGCGGGGGGCAAAAAGGTTAACAAAAAAGAAAAGCTTCATTTCAGCTGCCAGCTAAATCTACAGCAATCTTCCAAATGATGAGACCTGAATGGATTGCACACTGTTATCTGTCCTGCAGCTGAATCAATCACATCTAGGTCATTTTAGCCAGCTGACTGCATGTGTGTGCATGTGTGTGTGGGAGAACTCATTTGAGTTTTAGACCATTGGAGCAAAGATGTTTTGGAAAATATGGGCTGGGATGAGGCACTTAGGTGTGCTTGTTAGAATAAGAGGTGAGTGCAGCATGATGTGGACAGCATGGGCTATTTGGGGTAGATCCCTGTCCTGGAATGAGATCCATGCCCTTAATGCTACTACTATAACAGTTCTTTATGGATTCTTCAGTTTCTTGGCTGTGTGTAAATGCAGAATATGTAGTTATATGTAGAAGTTTAACGTGCTTGCTTTTTGTAAATGTAAATTCATCCTTCGACAGTTGAGCGATGCAGGTGGTTTGTAGTTTCTTGCCTCTTTCTGTGAAGCATCACACTGGCTGGTGAAATGACTCAGAAAGTCATGTAATTGATGGGTTTCATTCCAAAAATACCTTGACTGTATCTTGGAAAACTTTTTAGCATGAAATTCATCCAACAGTCGCAGATGATGATCCTTCAAAATCCCTTTGAAAGCAAAAGTCTTAAGATGAGTCACTACTCAACAACTGTGCTTGGTTTCAATGCCAGAACTCAAACTCTAAGAGGAGAGATTCTGTGTGTTTTTTTTTCATCCCCAAATGTTCAGATCTCCTTTTGGAAATGAACACTTCAGTTTCAAATATTGAGTATCGTTCCTTGTGTTTACAGATGGCTGTGTGTGATATTGGTGATGGAGATGACATTTTTCCCAGTTTTATCACATGCTAGCCTTACATAACCTGAACCAAATATAACTCAAGGTTAAAATGGAACTGAGATAAGGGAAAGGTGTCATTTCTGCATGTGTACAATCAATAGGCCACTGCACATTTGAAATTGTGTTTTTCAAACTTTACGTCCTTGACCGTGTAGTTTGTTTGATGACTTTTGACAAGGGAATGTTCAAGCTGTTAAAATCTTTCTTTTCCATCTTCCACCGCTTGAATAAACTCGTTTTTACTTAAATTTTGGGGGTGTTTTTTGTATGTATGCCATAAGACATATGCACTCACATTCCCCTTTAGAGTACATCTGTTCAGCAGTTTTTTAATGCAAATATCTAACCAGTTATTCATATGACAGCAACATTAAGCATTGTTGCTGATCATATCCATCTCTTTATGACCTTCTTCCAGCAGGATATGTCACAAAGGCATCTGAAACTGATTTCTTAAACATGACAATGAGTTCACTGTAGTCAAATGGCCTCCATGGTTTCCAGTAGATCATTCCTGGGATGTGGTGGAAAAGAAGATTCATATCATGGAATGTGCAGTTGACAAAACTGCAGCAACTGTGCGATGCTATCACGTCAATATGAACCAAAATCTCTGAGGAGTGTTTCAGCACCTTGTTTAATCTGTGCCACTAAGAATTGAAGGCAAAGGGGGGTCCAACCAGTGGAAAAGTGTAACTAATGATATGGTTAGTGTAAATACATCATTCATCACATTGTTTAAGCCTTTGTAAAACATCACAATTATCGGGACTGCTCCATTTACTGGATGTAAGATTGTAAGCAGTCTCTAATAAATTACTTTTAACAATATTTTAAGCATTTTAAAACTTGTTGACATGTAGGAACATTAGGAGGGTTGCTGATTACTGTTTTTGTTGCTGCTGTCTGTGCCAGCTGCAGAGAGCTTCCTCTGAAGTGATGGGAGGACAAAACCCACAATGCTTATTTTGTGACTTTGTGCTTATGTAGGTTCTCAGATTAATAATTTACTAGCCTATTATCTCTCTACTTTGGGGAAAAAAACTGAGAGACTTTCCCACTGCACACTTTAAATTTAAGGCGACCACTTAATTTGTCTATCCTGTTTTGGTGACATTATCTGGCATTTTCAGAGAATCCCACATACTGTACACTATAACAAACGCTGGGGGGAAAACAGAGCCAGTAGACTTCATGTGTTCATGGGTGGATACATTTTGAAAACTCCCATTTCTGATGACACAGTGAAGTGAGGCTAATTGACAAATCAGGCGTTTTCTCCTTTTGTTTCTGTAGTTATTGATACTAAACTATTAACAGTGTTTTTAGTTGTTTTTTCCCCCAGGAAATAACTGTCAGTATCACAGTATGACATTACAGCTAGGTCAGAGGACTAATCCATATCCATATCCCTCACTCACTAATAGCCCTTTTCCACTACTACCTACTTCGTTGGCTTGACTCGATGTTGTGTTTTTAGGGTTTTCCATTAGATGGTAGTCCCTGGTACCAGGTACTTTTTTAGTACCTACTCGGCCAGGATTTCAAATGATCTGAGTCAATCTGAAACTGTGACATCAACAGACTGCATGCCACCAATTGGATAGTCAGTGGCATCACCCGATGAGCTACGAGAGCGGCTCCTTCACGAAAGCCAAACTGCCATTTTTGAAACTGACCAAGCCGAGCCGAGTAGGTACCAGTGAGGAAGGTCTATAATTTTCTTTCGGGGGGCAGAGCCTCCAGCTTTCAGGCCCCTCTTCTGTGGTTCATTTTCCAGTTTGGATTTTGGAGACAGACAGTCTCTACTTTTAAGATTAGACTTAAAACTTTGCTTTTTAATAAGGTTTGTAGTGGTGGCTGGATTAGCTGACTCTGAATGCTCCCATAGTTATACTGCTAAAATCAGGACTGTTGTGTCAAAAATCTTGATTCCTTTAGATTATTGTCATGCTCTATTTTCTTGTCTGTAAAGCGTCTATGAATCGCCTCCAGTCAGTCCAGAATGCTGCTGCAAGGCTTCTAACTCACACTCATAAATGCTCTCACATGACCCCATTGTTAAAGATTTAGATATCAGTTTAAAACCTTGATTCTTACTTTGTTTGGAACAGCTTACCTCTCTCTCTCCTTTTAAAAAACACCTGCAAACACATCTGTTCAGACAGGCATTTGTGTAATGCTTCAGGGTTTTGTGTTGTTTTGATTTAGATGTGTTTATTTCACTAGGTTTTTAATACCTTTGTAAAGCACTTTGTGACAGCTTCTGGTCTAGAAAAGTGCTATATACTTACATGCTATATACATGTAAGTAAACTTTATTTTAATGCTGCAATAGGCTTGGGTTGGTGTGGGAGTCTCATGATGCACTAAGTGAATTTTTACACCTATAGTTAATTCACTCTGATCCAAATCAGTTGATGGGTTTGTAAACGTGTAGCTATTCCCTGTGTTTGTTTGTTTTTTCACACAGAGGAATCCAAGTAAGGTCCAAGTAAACCAAAATCCACTCACTGGCCAGATGTGTCTGTGGCGGGAGCAGCAAAAGTAGAGGAAGCAGGTTCTATGTTCAGGACTATAAGAGGCCACAGATAATTTACATTCATTTCATGGCTAGTTGCTAGCCTGGGGTTGTTTTGGTCCACGCCAATTACTGTGTTCATGCCTGTACTAACCAGAGTTTTATTTAAACAAACTGAGCACTGCAGGCGTGAAAACACTCTTAGTGTTTCTTCTTCACTTCCTCACTATCTGCAATTAAAATCTTGTTGTTATTATTATCCACAGCCTGTCTTTGGTCTTTTGCACATGACTGCCCACCCTTATAACAGAATCGTCTTCCCTTCAAAAGGGAGTTTTTCCTTCCCACTGTCGCCAAATGTGTTTTCTTTGCATTATTGTCGGATCTTTATCTTACAGTATAAGTGCCTATATAAACAGAGGTGAACTTAACTAAATTGAACACCATTTGTATTTCAGATTAGTTAAAGCGCGCTGCTTCTATTGGAGCTGCCACAGCAAATGAGATAATGTTAATAGTTGACGTCCCTCTCCCTCTCTCGCTCGCTCGCTCTCTCTGCTGTCAGAGCGCTCTGAAGAAAAAAGGAGGAAGCAGAGGGGAGGCAGTGTAGCGGCAGCCGTCTGCTCAACCGGAGGACAAGACAACTTAATCAGAGAAGGAAAAAAAAAAAACTACCGAAAACTATCCATTAGCTGGTCCCAGCACCGCCGACAACACCTCCTCTCGGAACAACCCACGAAAGAAAGACTTTCCGCCTCTCCAGAGAGCGTCTGTTTCTGGCACCTGCAACTTGAGGTAGTTCATTTCCAACAACCATTAAGGCAGCTGCTTGAAAACACCGGGAGAATGGCAGACTCGGCGGCGGCCAACAGTGATGGGGAGGACGGACCCCGCGAGCCTATGCGGGGCTTCGCGCGCCAGGGAGCTCTCCGGCAGAAGAACGTGCACGAGGTGAAGGACCACAAATTCATCGCGCGCTTCTTCAAGCAGCCCACCTTCTGCAGCCACTGCACCGACTTCATCTGGTGAGGAGCTGGAACAGGGATGGACCTAGAGTTCATATTTATTTATTTTTTTAAAAAGAAAAAGTATTTAACTTAAGTCACTGCTTGTGTTGGTGCTGTTAAAGAAGACGGTAAATCCGTTTACTGTGTACAGATAAGGCACTTTTTATTTATATAGGCTAAGTGAGTGGTGCAAAAGAAGGAATAAAAGGTAGGAATAAATAAAGTAGGGACAGAAGAATCGGTATCATGATGTATGCTGTTTTTTTTTAAAGGAAGAAGAAGTGGGAGGTGGACTTGATTTAGTTTTCGCAAAAATAAAGACCGATTTCCGTCTTATTTTTGTACTTGTAGATACTATATGCGTTAGGTAGGGCAGAAAGGAAGCTAGAGAAATATATGTGGGTAGCTCTAAAGTTTTTTTTTTATAAAAAGAATAGCTGCAGACCACTGTTTGATGCTATTAAGTAGGCAGAGGAACTGAGAGAAAAGAAAGCAGGAAAAGAAAAAAGAGGAAGGAATGAAGCGCTGCCAGCACGGATAACCTGAGTGGTAACAAGAAAGTGTTGCCCTGACACAAGTCCAGCCTTCCGCCTCCTCCCACTCCTTCTCTTCCGCCTGCAGTTTCTTCTGTCGGTCACCTGTGCAGACAGGTCACCCTGCAGCCCCCCTGGGGTTTACTAGACCGTGAGCCCCATACTCCAGGGCTATTTATTATCTGTTCCCTAAAGCGTTTTAAATTTGTCAATGGCCAGATGACTATCTATCTATCTATCTATCTATCTATCTATCTATCTATCTATCTATCTATCTATCTATCTATCTATCTATCTATCTATCTATCTATCTA